AAGAGAACCTACCTCAGAACCTTACCCCACTTGTCAGAGCCCTCATATTGGAGGACATCTGAAATCGGAAACATCATAAGCCCCTTGTAGAAGCTCTTATCGGACCCTTTGAAGGAGCCCTATTCTCATTACAGCACCAACGTCCCTAAACCCTAGACCCTAGACGAATCTACAACCCTTCTACAACCCTAAACTCTAAACGTCGAAGCGGTGTAGGACCTTTCCAGGGTCTACTAAGGTTTAGGGTTTCGTCTGTGGTTTGCTTTGGATCCCACCGTGGCTTCGATGTTCGGTAATGGTATCCGACTGCCCTGTGCAGCACAAAGGTTTAGGGTTCAGGGTGGGCTGGTAAACAAAATCCTGCATTACGTACCCCCCCAAACTCTGGGAATCTGTCCTGCAATGGGCACTGCAGGGTTTTGTCCCTCGGCCGCATCGTGGGTTTCACTTGTTACTATGAAAACCCTAAACCCTAAACCCTAAACCCTAAATACCGGAACTCTTAACTCTACACTTCCTGCAGCAGTCACCCTTGGTGTCCCGCCCTCACAAAGACTCTAGACCCTCTAAGTTGGAACATGAGGATCCTCACCCTTAATATTGGGTTTAGGGTTAAAGTATATGTGATCCTAGCATGAATCATCCTGAACCCATCTTCCTACTTTCACCCTAAACCCCAAACCCTAAGCCCTAAGCCCGAAACCCTAAACCCTGGGCTTTGCTGTAAAGCAACTCTAGACCCTGAGCCATCATCCCAAGACCCCAAGCCCGAGACCCCAAACCCTAAACCCTGAACCACCAACCCTCAAACCGGAAGCGCACCCAAGACTTTGAGGCCTAGTAGCACCCTAAACGCCAACCCCCTAAACCGTAAACCCCAAACCCTGAACCCTAAACCCTGAACAACGGCCTGGCACCCTCCTGCCTTTCCCTTTGTTTTTTTTCGTATGTTAAAAAAGGTCTACAGCTGTCCACCTTTGGAGTTGGAAAAATGTGCATCTTTGAGCTCTAGAATGCTGTGCCGAAGATCGTTCTGCTCGTTGGTGTTCTAAACTCCAAATCGTTAACTGATTCCAGTTTTAACGACATTACACTGCTCTTCACCATGCACTCCCAAGTATAAATCTGCAGTTAACGACAGTAAACTGACCTTTTACACTTTCTGTGTCAGCAAAGTGAAGCTTACATGCAGTTGTCGTGAGGAAGGAAGCTCTGCGTGCATCTGCAGCTTGTGTTTCTCAAGATTGCTGAACACGTGTTCTTAGTGAGTTTTTGAGCTTATGGTGAAGATGCGCCTCTTTGTCGTCGAGTTGCCGGGCTTCACGTGCCCTTGCCGAGTCCTAGTTCAAAGCTGTCCTTTGAATAGTCAAGAGTAGAAACTTCATATCGCTCCAAGGCTCGCGAATGCTCGGACACCCCTCTTGCGGAAGATCCGGCTTCCTCTTCGGAGCAGCCGGTCTTCCTTTGCTTCATTCGCAGTTTTCCCGAAAATGATATGGGACATACTTCATGGGTGCTGCTAGTAGGTCGGCAGTGCACCGAAGAGCGTGGCTGGCAAGTGTACGACTTTCAGTCCGGCGTCGAGGAGCTTGCATCGAAGTTCAGAATGTAATGCCTTTAATTTTGCTTGTGACAGGAGACTACGAGCGAGCTTTACATTAGCAAAGAAGCAAACGACGACAGCGAGGAAGAGTATGAAGAGGCGGGAGTTGTTTTAGCCTGGCATCAAGAACTTCTTTGCAACTACGTATGCCGAATCAGGAAGCCTCGATCATTGACGAAGGGATTGGTTTGAGTGCTTCCGAGGCCCCTTCAACTGTCTTTGTTTCAAAGCTTCTGTTAATGGTATGTGTGGTCGTGCGACTTCTATGTGCAGGTGGATCTCTCTCTCGTGAAGCCCCAAAGTGGGATTGGCACGTGCCAGACTGCAAATTCTGTGGCGCGCACCACCGGGTTTTCGTTTTTGTGCTGAAAAGGAAGGGAGTGCGAAGAATTGTTTGTCTTGAGGCTGTGCGTGTGATTGCAGAGGAAGCTGGCATGGTCCACACATGCAACATGTTTGCGCAAGGGCCGTGCTCATTTTTTGCGAGAAGAGTGCAAACATGAGCTGCAAAACCAATCAAACGCATGAGTTTGTGCCTTGTGAGTGCGCTCGAGCTTGTACCTTGTACCTTGTGAGTGTGTGCGAGCTTGTGCGTGTGATGCCCGCTTGGTCCGCGTTGAGCTTCCAGACCACGTGCCGGTCGAATCCTCAGCCTCTACCCAAACAGTCTTGAACGTCGCGCGTCTTTTTTGGGTCAGGGAAGCTTGAAGCCGTTTGTTGTTGAGGTTTCTCTGAACTCCTCGCGAATGCGTGACAGCCCTGGCAAGTTCTTTAAAGAAGCTCAGGAAGCTTGAAGCAGTTTGTTATTTTGAACTTAAAACATCGAGTGTGTCTCAGTCCCAGTAGTGCTAAAAAGCAAGCTAATGGCTTAGCTCAGAATTCGATTCAATCTTCTGATCAGGGTGGCAAACACACTTCGAAGCAAAGCTCGAGTGTTGGCAAACCTTTCAGAGCTAGGCAGGCTGTTAGAGGATCGAAGTGAATCATCAATCAATACATGTGCTTTGTTTTGGTGCAGGTCGGATAGCAAGTATTATTGCAGATGGAGAGGTCGGTGGTGCATCTATGATGGGGTCGTGCCAACCTGGTTGACCGAAGCAGCTGCAGATCTGGGTTCTGAGAGGTACCACGCTGCTGTCGGTGGGTGCCTGGCTGGATTGGTTCATCCGTTTCGAGGCTTGCGGAACGGATGCCACGATGAAAGGCTTATCGAAACAGAGCAAAAAACGAACGCCAGGGTCATTGAGAAAACCATGAAACCTTGCAAGGCCTTACAGCCCCTGCATGGATAGCTGACTAAAGCCAGCCACAATGAAAACTCTTGCGGAACCGTCTCAAAGTCCAGCAGAAACTCCCAACCTTAACACCGAAAAAAAGGCCTAAATATGCCTAAATCCTAAACCTTAAACAACAATAAACCCTACAGCCACAAGCCCCGCACCTGAAAAATATAAACCCTAGATCCTCAACTGACTACAACCCGCGAGCTCTAAATCCTAAGCCCGTAAACCCTAAACCTTAAACCACTAAACTGTTTAGGAAACCATTGGATCCCCGTCGCACCATCTGGGTCGGCAACCTACCAGTCGGCAGCACCTTTCAGGCCCCATCGTGCTTTAGGAATTTGGTGTTTAGAGTTTGGGTAGTTCTCCAAATTAGGGATTTTTTTGGGTCCCCAGAAATAGCATGGCACCCTCATTAAATTTAGAGAACTGTTCATTTCGGGTTTAGGAGATAAGGGGGTTTATGGTTTAGGGATATAGTGTTTAGGAGTTTAGGGTTTATGGGGTGTAGGGTTGAGGAACTTTGTAATTAAGGTGTTGGGTTTGGGTTTAGGAATTTAGGGCTTGGGAACTTAGATTTAGGGCTTCGGAATTCTAGGGGTGAGGGTTCAGAATTTTGGGTTTGGGGTTTTTACAAGGGTTTGGTCGCATGTTTCGGGCACGATCTAATTTTCAATAGGGCTCTTCGGAGGGTTCTGTTAAGGTTTACCGGAAGGGCTCTATAAGAGCATTGCAGTCGCAGGGTTTGGGGTTTAGGGCTGAGGGCTCTCGAAGCATTCCTTGAAGGGCTCCTTCAGGGCTTTTGGAAGCAGGGTTTTCCATGGCTTGACGGTCGTAGTACGGTTCTTAGCGCTTGGTGTGATGTGCCGCAGAAACAAACCTTTGCCTGCAAATCCTTTAAACCCTTGAGCCCTGAGTAACGAACCCCTCGCACGAGAAGTTGATAGAGCCGTCGCAGGATCAGTATCCTAATGGAACCGTTATAGCACCTTTTCAAAATTTAACGCTTTTGTAGAGCCCGGCTAGCCAGTGGGGCCAGCACAGAACATTTTCGGAACCCTTGCAGAACACTCTAGACGCTCCTTGTAAACCCAGCCTCAAGCCCTCAGCTCTACGCCCTAAGCCTTCAACCCCCCCCAACCCCCAAAGCCGTTAACCCAACACATAGGAACCCTGATAGTCCTCTGTAGAGCAGGAAATTCAAAGGCTGCACAAAACCCGAACCCTAAATACAGCCCCCCGATATCCCCAAAAGACAAACCCCCAACCGCCAAAACCGTAAGCCCAACACCAAACCGTTGGATCCCTTCCCGGATCCATTGAAGCAGCCCTCACAGTTGCCTTTGAAGGAACTAGACCAAAACACAACCCTAAATCCCAAACTGCTGAACCCGAAACCCTTAAACCCTAAACCCCAACCCCAACGAAATCTTAACCCCTATACCCCCTATGGATCCCTGTTACTGTGAAGGAACCGTTTAAAGGAAGCCCTATGGTAACCCATAGTCACCCTTGAAAGACCCGTTAACCCTAAAACCCTGAACTCTAAACCCACTAAGCCCTTCTCCCCTTTCCCCCTTAAGCCCTAAACCCTGAACCCCCTAAACCCTAAACCCCCCAATCCCCAAACCCTAAACCCTAAACCCCATAAGCCCTAAGCCCGAAACCCACACAGCCGGAAACCCTAAGCCCGAAACCCACTAAGCCCGAAACCCTAAACCCTAGAAGCCCCCTGAGCCCTAAACCCTAAACCCCTTAACCCCTTAAGCCCTAAACCCATTAAGCCCGAAACCCTAAGCCCTGTAAGCCCCCTAAGCCCTTGATCCTAAACCCCTTACCCCTTAAGCCCCGAAGCCCGAAACCCCAAACCCTAAACCCTCAAATCGAGCCGATGAGATGGGTGACATCTGAGGTGGCTTTTGTTAAGGTTAACGTTTGGCCCACAGGGCTGTGGCTGGACCTCTGCGGAGAGAAAGTCCCAAAGCACGTTTAAAAAAAACTTATAAGGCCACTAAGCCAGAAACCCTAGACCCTATAAGCCCCCTAAGCCAGAAACCCTAAACCCCTCAACCCCCAAAGCCCGAAACCCTACAAACCCTCGAATCCGAGTCCAGGAGCTCAAGGCGCACGCAGAGGCGCACGGTGCGGCGCCTTTATGGGCCTCCCAGCTCCTCTAGTCAATCCCGAGGGTTTAGGGTTTAGGGTTTAGGGGTTTCGGGGTTAAAAGTTAGGGGTTAAGGGTTTTTCGGGGTGTAGGGGTTCAATTATAGTTAGGGGTTTGGGGTTCAGGGTTTAGGGTCAAGAAGGGTTCCTCTAAGGAAAGGGGTTCAGGGGTTCTTTAAGGGATCCGTAAGGGGAAAGACCCCTTGATTAAGGAATAGAGTCAAGATCCAGCTATCGAGACCCTAGTAGAATTTACGGTAACCATATTCCTTAAGTACGAGATCCGGGAAGATCTTGCTTGCTTTAGCGACACTCTCCTCCAGGGTTCGATGAGGGCTCTTTAAGGACTCTTGGGGCTCTTTGAGGGGTTCTACTCGGTTCTTTCAGGGGTGTTGTTAGGGTTTAGGGTTTAGGCTTTAGGGTTTAGGGTGCGATATGGTGTTTTGAAGGGTCCGCGGTTTCTATGAGGCTTCTTCAAGGGTTGGTTCTTCAAGGTGCCCGTCTGGATTGTCCGATGTCGAAGGATCTTGGCGTTAACGGGTTTTGGGATAAACCCTAAACCCTAAACCCTAAACCCTAAACCCTAAACCCTAAACCCTAAACCACCCGACCCTAAGCTACAGGATTTTCGGGAGACCATGGTTTAGGGATGTAGGTTTTTGGGGGGCGGGGAGTTACGCATGAAGGATCCACCTGCCATGTCGCCAAGGCCGAGGCGTACCAGAACAAAGGCGCAGGCAGGGTGCGTCTTGAAGAACCCCTAAACCCTAAACCCTACACCCTAAACCCTGAACCGAACTTGTAGGGACTGCCAAACCCCCATTATAGGGGCATCAATATTCAGAATAGGGTTCTGTAGCCCATTATACTATCATTCTGGTACGGAGCCTCCAAATAGTATTGGTAATTATTCAGACCGCTACATTAAGCCGAACCCTTAAACCTTCAAGCCCTACAAACCCCCTAAGTCCCTCAACCCGAAACCCATTAATTTATCAAGCTACGCTAAGGCTATACCTGAAACAATAGAGGCATCGTGAGGTATGGCGCCTAATTCCTTAAACCCCAAGCCAGTACTATTATGTGGATTGAAGCAGTATTTAATACTGTGCGCTTATAGTCCCAGTATACTATAACATATCACAAAATCTAATTCTAATGCTTAAGGCACCAATTTCGGGGGTCTGGGAGTTGCTTGGAAGCGCGGATCCTGAGGTAGTATTCGGGAGACCCCTTAAAGGGGACCCTTCTTAACCCTACTTATGGCTCTCGTAATAGGGACCTTATTGAGAGGGTCTATATCCCCAAGGGTCCCCTACTCCTAACTCCCAGCGGAAACCTGTACACCTTGGAGCCAAGCTTGCTTCAGGTACGGGTGCCATCGGCTTCAAGACGTCAGAAGAGGCTGTAAGCCCTACGCCCTAAAACCTAAACCTTACCTGGACCCTATGAAACCTACCCTTTTCAGGGCCAGTCGAGGGTCCTTAGTATGAAGTCCTTATATAAATCCTTTAAAAGGCAGGTTATTTGGGGTTGAGGTAGACCCTAAGCCCTTGCTTTGGGGCTCTTGATGGAGCTCCATGGTTCCTAGAAGGGATTGTGGGTTTTGGGGGCTTGCCTGACTCCGATAGGTTCAAGGGTTTAGGGTTTTAGGGTTTAGGGTTTAGGGTTTAGGGTTTAGAGGGTTTAGGGGTTTTGGGTTTAGGGTTTCGTGCTGGGCGGTCCAGTCCAGGGTCCAGGTAGGGTTTCAGGTTCTTCGGGATTCTGATGATTGTGTTTGGGGCTTAGGGTTTGAGGTTTAGGGTTTCGGGTTTGGGGGGATTGAGTTAGCTAGGGTGTGGGGCTTTGAGGTTCAAGGTTTGTTGTTGAGGGCCGTAATGCCTTCTTCGGGTTTAGGTCTCTAGGAATATAATGCAAAATCTTGAGGAATACAGGCACCGTCCATTAAGAAGGGTTTAACGATTCAATATGGGATCCCACATGGAAGTTCAGAAACTACGGGACGACGGGGATCCGGATATGCAGACCTTGGACCTACAGTTCAGGGATCTGGCCCAGGGTGCAAGGATTTCTATAGGGGTCTGAATACTGAGATACTAAGGTCATTCCCAATCAAGAGTTCTGTTATAACTATGAAATAAATAGTCTCCTATGCCCCAACACCCTCTTCTAATATTAAGCTATTACGGCCTATTAAGATGAATACAGGAAGGCCCCCTCTGATATTAAGTGAGCCCTGTGGATTTTGGAAGAAAGCGGGGTTTCTAGCTGTGGGTTTAGGGTTTAGGGCTTAGGCTTTGGAAGATGGGCCAGACTTGCTATGGCGCAGGAAGGCACATGATATTCGTGCAACATCCCAAGCCCTAAACCCTAAACTCCGAGCGCTAAACCCTAAGCCCTAAACCCCAAACCCTAAACCCTAAACACCAAGCCCGAAGCAATGGGCGATTGACGCCGACCTTCGGAAACCAAGCGCCCGAGGGTGTAGGCGACCTGAATCGAAACAAGGAACCCTTGCCTACTTGGAGGATCATGGGAGTTAGTAAGTATGTTTATAAGTACCTTAATTGGGGTTATAAGTAGTTATAAGTATAGTTACCCTAACAATAACCTGGAGGCTCATACCCTACTCTAAGGATCATGGGACTTAGTAACTGAGGTTATTATTAGCGGAACTATACTTATGACTACTTCTAACCCCAATAAAGGTACTTTTCACCATGCTTGCTAACTCCCATGATCCTCCAAGTAGAGCCCTGCAAAGTATGGGACATTGACAATGTCCCTAAGCCCTGAAACCCCTAATCCTTAAGCTCTGAAGCCCCAAGGAGGAAAAAGGTACTGTGAAAAAGCACCTGAACTCTCAAACCCCTAAACACTGAACCCCGAAGCCCTAAACCCCAACTGCACCCATCAATGACCGCCTACACATAAGGATCTCCCAAAATCCGATTGAAACAAGCAGTACTTAAAGGACCATGGGACTCAGTTACTAAGGTCATTATGAGGGTAGCTATACTTATAACTACTTATAACCCCAATTAAGGTACTTATAATAACCATACTTACTAGGTCCCATGAGCCTCCATACCTAAACCCTAAACCCTAAACCCTAAACCCTAAACCCTAAACCCTAAACCCGAAACCCTAAACCACAACCCTTAGCCATACTTACTAAGTCCCATGAACCTCCAAGCAGAAGGGCCGTGACCCCACATTTTGCAGGCTGAAGAGGCTCTCGCGGCTGGAGACTCACATTTTCCCTAAGGCTCCATGTGCCCATATAGTACATACGTAGGCCTTAAAGTACTCATATAGGGACTACTTTAAGGCCTAAGTATATACTATATGGGTACATGGAGCTTTAGGTTTTGGAGTTCCCGTTTAGGGCTTTAGGGCTTTAGGGTTTAGGGTTTAGGGTCTAGGCTTTAGAGTTTAGTGGTTTCGGATGGAGGGTTTGTAGGGGTTTCGGTTTGAGGGTTTAGGGGTTCAGAGGTTTCGGATTGAACGGTTGAGGTTTCGGGTTTGGGGTTTTAAGGTTCGGAGCTCAGGGTTTAGGGTTTAGGGTTTAGGGGTTTAGGGGTTTAGGGGTTTAGGGTTTAGGGTTTAGGGTTTAGGGTTTAGAGGGTTGAGGGCTTACATTGTATACCGTAGATTCAGCTTGGCAGCTGTAGTCACTCTACAGGTCGGAATGGTTAGTAATACTATTCTGCAGGATTCCTCATTGAGGTGATACTACAAAACTATAATCTAATACTTTGTTCTCCAACACCCAAGCTATGAGTTTCTTGGGATCTCATAATTCAGTAGTAATCTGGAAGTTTAACCTTCTGTTTCCCTGGCGGAGTAAGTGTAAGACTTTAATCTTACGCAGCCGAAAGCTTCTTTGCAATTATAAAGGCCCCTTTCCTCCGGGTTTCGGGCTTTCATGGCTTGCAGGAGGGTGCCAAAGGGGGGTGGGGTGTTTGTAGCTGCTCTCCTAACTCTAGGGTTTCCAATGTAGGGGCCTTAGGGATTACCTATACTCTCTTGGGTGTTCCTGATTATAATTAGAGTATGAATATACCCCCAAAACCCTATTGTAGTGATTAAGGCCCCTACGGTTTAGGGTTCAGGGTCTAGGGTCTAGTGGTTTGGAGTTTACCTACAGGCTCCATTAAGTAGTTCTTTGCTTTGCTTTAAATTTTCTTACGTAGGTTCTCATTAGGTCAGCCAGGAAAGTAACTACCATGGAGACTATAGGTAGGATTCGACTGTAGGCTTGGAGTTCACGGTTTCAATCTCAAGAGTCTAGGTCCTAGGTTTCGTGGCTTCAGTTTCGGGTGTAGCTTTGAGGGTTTATTGTTTAGGGGTTTTGGGGGCTAATGACTTAGCTTTACGGGCTTCAAGATAGAAGGTTGACGCTTTCAACCCCAAGCCCTAAACCGCCTGGCTGTCAGTTTCAGCTGCCCATGGAGGTGTGGAGCAGACACCTTAAACCCTAACCACCGAATACCCTAAGACCTTAAAACTTCTGGGCCTGAACACCGAAACCCTCAACCCTGCCCCGAAAGCCTAAAGCCGGGATTAAGCCCCACAAAGGATTTCTAGGTTTCCCCTGAGCTTCCCCTTTTAAAGGAGCCCAAACCGAAGCCCCTCAGGTCTTGAATGGCACTGTCTTCAAGAAAGTTCAGATCGCCACAGACCCCTGGGATGCCAAGAGGAAGTGAGAATGGCTCCCATAGCCCCCAGAACGATATGTCAGGGGCCTTCAGAATTAGACTAAGGGTTCCGTAAATACAGGTTCTAGAAAGGTGACTAAAGGGGGTATTACGGGAATTTAGTGTCGGGCGCCCGCAAGCACTAGAATAATTATTGATAACATAGGGGCCTTAATAATTAAAATAGGGTTGGGGGGGGGGTACATGGGGGTACATTATTCTTGGGGTTCCTTATTACGTTTATATTGTAAGGTAGCCCCAGACCTTTTTCTAATTATAGTACAGCCATCATGAGGAACCCGAAAAAATAAGGAAGGCACTCCCGAGCCTTAGAATATCCCCGAAGCAACCTACCTGTTTAAGGACTTACATGAGGAAATCATATTAATCCCTAAACCCGGAACCAGCGGGTTCCGGGTGTAAGCGTGTACTGTGTAGGTTTGAGGGTTTGGGTTTAGGTAGATAATGGCCTTAGCGGCTAGAATAGGGTTGCGGGGTGGTTATTTTTGAAGTATCCAAGGTAGATGAGCCTAAACTGCACACCGGCTTTTATTGAAGTTTCGCAGGGATTGTCTGTCTAGATTTGCTTGCTGCATAGAGGGTTTATGGGCTTCACAGCTAAGTTCTCCAATGCCCAACCTTTGAGCTTTTTGGGATCATATCTTTGTCGTAATGTGAGAGTTCAACCTTTCAGGTTTCTGTGGCTTGTTGGGAAGAAAGCTATACACAGCCCTACCCTAGACCCCTTAAGTAGCTGAATGGGTGTACTTTAGTCTTTTCGGTGATCATCTAATCCCCGATAGAACTGAAAGCTTAAGCAGCTTTGGTGCTTGTGAACCCAGCACTCTGCAACTTTAACCCTAAACCCTAAACCCTAAACCCTAAACCCTAAACCCTAAACCCTAAACCCTAAACCCTAAACCCTAAACCCTAAACCCTAAACCCTAAGCCCCTTTGAGTCCCACGGTCCCAATAATGAGATCGGGTTTAGGGCTTAGGTCTCCCGGTGGGCCCATTCTCCCTTTTTGGGGGTCTTAGGCCCCTTGTTGCTGGGGATCCATGCAGGAGCCTGGGTAGCTACCAATATTAGTGTTTAGTTTAGGGCTCCTGGTTATGTGTATGTGTTTCTACATATATATATATATAATATACATACCCTACCCCGAATCCTCGTTCTGATTATGAAGGCCACCATACTAAGTTCAAACACAGCTCTTAAACCCTGAGCACCACAAGTCTGATAGGAAGGCATCCCTCCATGTTGGTCCGATGAGGACTTGGATGTTTACCCTGCTCAGTTTCATGACGCCCAGGGCTTCTGATACCACTGCAGAGGCGGATGCTCAGCAGAAGCTGGTCTGTGGCAATCGTGGTAGGAACAGATCGCCAAGATTACCTTCCGAGCTGGTGTGGGGGCGCATAGCTTTCCGTGTACATTTACTCTCCAGCATCTAGCACATTGCAGAGGGTTACGAAGGAAGTTCTGCTTTTGCACTCTTAAACCCGATGCCTAAGCTCTGAACCCTAAACCCCAAAGCAAAAGGCACTAAATTTTCCCCTCCCCCCCGCTCCCTCAACCCGAACTCTAGAAGTCCTGAGACCTAGCCTCCTAAACCCTCAACCCTAAACCCTAAACCCTAAACCCTAAACCCGATTCAACCACGAAACACTCGAAAGTCACCCCGAGATCAAGGCCAGACGGCTTGAGCCCCAGATAGAAGCTTGGATGAGGGTTCGTGGATGCAGTTATAATATCAAGCTACTTCGGGTTTAGGGTTTAGGGTTTAAGCTACCCCAAAACCCCTGCTATAGTATAGGCAGTTACAGTATCAAGCTACCCCAAAACCCTGCGATAGTATGCTATAGTTTCAAGCCTCGCCAAAACCCTGCTTTGATTATTTCATCCCATTGTTAGAGTGAGAGTGTCCGCCTCGTAGGGACAGAGCCCTAGGATTGTGTTGGGTCGGCGCCCAACGACGACTTGGAGGGTCAGCGGATCTCCTACTTACTTGTAGCAGTCTTGTAGGTACAAAACAGTTTAGGGCTTTAGGGTTTAGGGTCTTAAACTAGGGTTTAAGGGTTTATTAGGGTAGGGTTTTTAGGGTTCTTAGGGTTTTAGGGCTTGGGGTTACGACCCCACAGCCGCACAGCCCATAATAAGAAGAACTAAGCAACACTAGCTGGAGCGTGAATGAAACTGGGTGCTGCAAGGCTCCATATGGCTGTAGGGTCAGGTGTGAGCAAGCGGGTAGTACATCACTCGATAGGGCAATTAGAACCGCCCAATACATGTCCTACTTACCACGTCCGCTGATCCTTCAAGTAAGGGTTCAGCGTTTAGGGTTTAGGGCGCACGAGCGCAGTGGCCCGATGCTTGTAATGGAAGCACTGCCATGTGATCGCAGGAGCGTGGGAAGTAACATCCACGAATCCCCATACGGATCCATTGATGTGGTTGGTACAACATGGGGGTTTCTGAAAATAGGGGACCCTGATATAGCACCCTAAATAATAGGACCCTTATTGTAAGGACCCAAAATAAGGTACCCTAATTTTTGGAAACTCACACATTGTGTAGTAATGGTGTAGTCAGGCAAAAGCGTAATCACAACGACCATGGCAACTCTGAGTATGCGTAGCACAACATGTGTCGGCGGCTTTTGGCCAGGGTTTCGGTCTGCACTCCGCAAGCAAAACAAGTGTGAAACTCTTTTGTTGCAGGTGCTTGCTTCCTGTGACATGCATGAATAAATCCACCACACAGGGGAACGTAACCTGTAGGAGGAGAATGGCTAAACCCTAAAACCCTACACCCTAAACCCTAAACCCTAAACCCTAAACCCTAAACCCTAAACCCTACTACTTACTATCGTGCCAGGTCAGCTCAGTTTGATTAAACTCGAAGCCCCCAAACCGTCGGCTGCCACATCCGAGCCAATCCAAGCTTCAAGCTCCAGACTGCAAGGCAGTTGAGGGTTTAGGGCTTTGGGTTTAGGGTTTAGGGTTTAGGGTTTAGGGTTTAGGGCTTTGGGTTTAGGATAGTTAGTTGCATTCCTATTTGTAACTGCCTGGTTTCCTCCAGGGCGATGCGGTCATGGCGCTTGCGCAGGAGTTTGACTGCTCAGGTCTTCGGATTTCCAGGTATCTCTCATTCGGATCGTACGGCCCAAACCCCAAACCCTAAACCCCTAAACCGGTAAACCCTAAGCCCTAAACGTAGAGGGTTTTGGGGCTTGGCTACTTCTGCGAGGGATGTCCGAGAAACGGGTTTTTGGCTTGCCGCCTTAGAGGAGTCGGGTGGTGCTGTTGGTAACGGTATTGCGAATGACGGGGTGGTGTAAGTTGAAACAAGGCTCCTTAGGATTTTTGGCGAGTGCATGTTTGGGTTCCTAGCTGCCCCAAATCCTCAACCCAAAACCTTAAACCCACAACCCAAGTAACCTTGCATCTGTATTATCAATATCAGCTGCAAGTTTCCAGGAAAGTGTAGTATGATTCCTGTCGTCGCTGATGGTATTGCTTTACAAGATGCGAACGTTACATGGTTGGTTGCAAACCCTGTTTAGACAAATCAGGCTTCCACAGTCGATGTCGAGAGACAGTGGGCTTGAGGGCTTTGTTTCAACGAATTTTGTGTATATGTTTAAAGCTCTGGAATATTGAACTGAAGGGGGCTGGGGACGGCGGGGGTGTGCAGGGATTAGGTGTTGCAGTCGCGTGTTCGTTTGAACAGAGTTTTGTGCAGCAGTAGACCCTAAACCCTAAACCCTAAACCCTAAACCCTAAACCCTAAACCCTAAACCCTAAACCCTAAACCCTAAAGGGGTTTCGGGAGATTGATGGTCGAGCTGCAGCTGTGTTCGAAGGAGTCTGTTCTAGGTGCCCCTTTGGGAAACCTTACATTTACCCATAAGGTTCCTATAGGTACCTATTCATGAATCGTTTTCAGGGCCCAAACACCCTAAACCCTAAATCCTAAATCCTAAAGCCTAAAGCCTAAGCCCTACTTCTTGACGAGAAAATTTGGGTCTTGGGGCTGAGTTTTGCAGAACTTTTGGTCTGGAGTCGAGGGCTGACTCTGGTCTTGGGCGATGATGATTAGGGTTTAGGGTTTAAGGTTTAGGGTTTTAGGGTGTAAGGTT